ACACAGCATATGTATTTTATTTTATTTTATTTTATTTTATTTTATTTTATTTTATTTTATTTTATTTTATTTTATTTGAATGTGCATTGCATCTTTCTTTCTAGTGACTTTCTCCTTGGGGATTTCACCTTTAGCTTGATCATTGAGGACTGCATAGCTCTGCTCTCTCCCTAAAGATGCTCTTGAACAATATGCATTGTGAAAACACTGAAAAAAATAAATAAAATGGAAACATTATTAATTGAAAACGTTTTCCTCCAGGTTTATATATCTAATAGCATTATATATAATATAAAAATATTGCCATCCCACTACTTTATTACATCCTACTACTTTATCATTTTTAATATGATGCAAATATTTTCTTTATAATAATATATTTTCTTTTTTTCATAATATATTTTCTTTAGACATTAGGGGAGTGACAGTTTAAAACCAATTATTTAATTTGGCATTTATTTAATTTAACGTGTTGTCTTAATAATACCATCCTTACTATTTTCCTCACACAATATTGCATTTTTTATTTATTTATTTTACACTCAATCATTTTTCTTTCCCTAAAGAAATAAATTACTAATTTCAAAGCATCTCAGCAGGGGCATTGGTATTTTGGTTTGTATTTTTCTTTTAAAGAACTGTCATTTGTTTGAATGGAGGTGTTATATCAACTACCCATTTATTTATTTGCATTTCTAGTAGCTTTTTAAAACTAATTCGGAAATATATGATGCTGTAGGTTACACAATGGCTGCAAATATATAGGAATAAACCAGCTCTATAATTCACTTGTCATGTGCAGTTTTAATAAAACCGATATGAAATACAGTTCGAAATATTTATAGCTGAGGCAACAAAAATGACACTCGCCTATGATATACACTCATTTTAACCTGCTGCCAGCGAGTATCAGTTTATTTTCCCAGATCCCACTTTTAACTGTCTGACCTAAGATGGATGACTATTGTTACACCAGCAATCACACACACAATTTGACAAAGGCCTTGTGAGATGTTGAGAAACACAGGGGCGAGAAGAAGATCTAAATGAGAGAGGAGGAAAAAAAGCGAGATTGAGATGAGCAAGAGGAGCAATTGTTGAAAGGTGGACATTTAGAGAATAAACCAACTACAAAAACACGCATGAACAAGTTGAAAGGCTAGGAAACAACAACGCTGAGAGTATAATTAGAGCACACGTGTGTTCCTCTGAGATCTACAATTGTGCTGTTGATGATAACCACAGCAGTGATAGGTGGGTAGTTTGACAGACAGACTGAACTCATTACAGCCGAGGTGCAAGAGCAGATCTCAGCACACAACAGCGGCACACACTGCCCTGCACCGCTACTGTCCCTGGAGCCCGGAGAGAGACATGAACACGGGACCTCATTAAGACCCTCAGTCTAACTCTCCCAGTGTCTTAACCCGAGCCCACATCGCATTCAGAGTGTGAGAGATTGACTCTGACTGTAGTGCTCACAGCAGCTGAGGAGAGCTACTGCTGTTGATGATTATCGGTAACTGTAAGGGAAAGACAGAAAGAAAAGAATCCGGAATGATCTTTCTGTTTCCCCTGGTGATTCTGTGTCTTTCAGTCACATACAGCACCTGTAGAAGAGGGCTGTGTGTTTGTGTATTACTACACCACATGGTCCTCAATATGTCTCGAGGCTCTTTCATATGACTCTTCAGTGCATCTTCAGCAAACTCCTGGTCGAATCAGGGGCCAGTTGCATAAACCTGGCCGCTATGTTAAGACTGGGTCTTAAAAACTAGTCTGACCAACTAGAAGTTAGCCAAGGGATAATGTGTCTTATTTTTAAGATTAAAATCAGAGCAATCTACCTAACTTACAAGACTAGTCTAAGTCTTTTATGCAACAGACAGTAGGAAATTTCAGACTGGGGTTCAGCTTAGTTAAAAAACATAAACAAACAAACAATAAATAAATAAATAACTACACACACACACACACACACACACATGTTGTCTTAATAATACCATCCTTACTATTTTCCTCACACAATATTGCATTTTTTATTTATTTATTTTACACTCAATCATTTTTCTTTCCCTAAAGAAATAAATTACTAATTTCAAAGCATCTCAGCAGGGGCATTGGTATTTTGGTTTGTATTTTTCTTTTAAAGAACTGTCATTTGTTTGTCACTAAAGATAACACAATCAGAATACATTTTGACCCCCCCTCCACCCATGGTACCCTGTAATTTCATATTATCTAATTTAAATCGAATTCAGTTTAATTAAGATTCAGTTTGTTTTATCATGGCACTATACTGTAGATTTAGCGTTGCAGATTTAATACTAATGTATATTATGTGATGATTATTCTTTAAATGTCCTGAATTACCTTACTAAAAGTGCTAATTGCCTGTATTCCTCTCCCACCACAGATATATTTTTGAGTATTTACTTCAGAAAACGCATAATGCATAATTTCCTGCCATGCCGTCGGCTTCCTGGAAGGAGCCTCCCCCACATAAACCTACACATGGTTTGCTGTCTGTTTTTGGTCTGCAGTTGAAGTGCCCACTTGAAACCTGAAGTAACGTCCTTATTCCTACCTCTGTGGGTGTACAGATCACTTACAGTGTAAAAAAAAATCACGCACAAAAAGTGAATTCGCTTGAAAGGCATCAAGATACCCTTCTCTGCACTGTTGAATGATCCCTTTCGATGGAAACAGGTGCTTCCGCAGGCAATAAAATGACTGTTGATTCGATTACCTGCAGTTTCATCACCTGTGTTCGTGGAGGTTATCGATAGGGCGTCACATTACTGATTCTACCTCAATTCAATTAGCTGAACAGATATGTGAGACGCTCTGTGGTCATACCGTGCTAACGCTGTTAGCATCACTTGAGGATGCTTTGTGTGGTGAATGTTTAAGTGAGAGAACAAGACAATATCTTCATCTTGCACCTACACCTGCTTGCCTGAGTAATACATAATGTATTTTTTATCTGAACAACCAGCGTGGCTCACAAAGGAAGCAGTTTTGAAGAGAAAAAAGCAGTTGTGAATGTAGCTCATGCACAGGTGTGAGGTGTTCGAAGGTTTTTTTTCCAGTTTTGGCGTCCTGCAGTGCGCAACATATATCAAAGCTGCTAAGCAATTAAGGTAATTGGTCACAGAGGCATTCGTTATTGACGTGTCATGCTAAACACCTCTGGTTTTGGAGCCCGCGTTGCCACATTAGTCGTTTTGAACGGAAATGCGATTTCTGAGCGGACACAATGTTACTGGCACTGTTCCAGCTCACTTACTCAAATGAAATCTTCATTGAATGCATTTAAATGGCATATTTAAATGTGGCTATAGCCTGTTACAGTTCTCACTTAAGCTTTTATGGATGTAATAGAATTTTCAAAAAAAAAAAAACACATTGAAGGTTCAAAGGCTGAATCTCCGAAGGGTTTTAATGCGTGTGCCTTTGCGTGTATACATGTGTAGCCTTTGTAAGGCTATAGAAATGTGTCACCCTGTACAGATCCTGCTATGCTTTTTATACCGCAGTGTATGAACTGTAAAATGGATACATAATTGGAATTATTTCTTTCTGATGTGTCGCAGCACGCTGGGAGTCCAGTTTAGATGCAGTGTGACTGTAGGAGCATTGTTATACCAATATAATAATATAGTTACTATAATAGTGTATAATTTAAAAGCCATCACTGCTATTCATATCAGCTATTTTAAAGTCTTGGTTTTGGATTGTTACATATGGTGAAGCTGTTGCTCACTACTGTTTAAAAGTTTGGGATCAGGCAGGTTTTTTTTTTTACTTTTATTTCAAACAAATGTTGTTCTTTTGAACTTTCTATTTATCAGTATTATCCTGAAAATATATATTAGTTTTCCCCCAAAAATATTAAGCAGCACAGTTTTCAACATTGGTAATAAGAAATGTTATTGTGTAATAAATTGGCATATTAGAATGATTTCTGAAGGATTGTGTAACACTGAAGACTGATGGCTGCTGAAAATGTTTTTATGTTGCGTTTTAAAATATATTAGAATAGAAAAGTGTTATTTTAAATTATAATAATATTTCACAATGGTACTGTTTTTTTTACTGTATGACTAAATATATATATATATTTTTTTTTTCAAAAATCTTTACTTTGGTTATTATCGCTATTTTATAAAAAAAAAAGTGAATGAATGGGGAAAAAATAGTCAGTTAGAACATAATGCGTATTGGCATATATTTGCAGGAATAATAACTATATACCATAATTAAACAACTCAAAGATTTTGGTCATACTGCCCGAATCACATCTATTCACCCCCAGGTCACCTTGTGTTACAAGAACATAACTTAGAGTGTCAAAGAGGATGGTAAACGGGCAGGAAAGGAAGAGTTATGGATGAGAGAAAGAGGAATGGGGAAGGGAAATGAGAGGAGGAATATGTCACAGAGGACGCAAAGAATGAAAGCGAGGTATGGGGTGTTGAGATAAGATGGAGACGGACACGATCAGAGGGGATAAGCTGGCCCGGTGTGGCCATATCTTCCTCGGTCAGACCTGATGGGTGAAGATGAAAGTGGGGTCGATATTATTGAGGGTTAAAGTTCTCTATTTCATGTTAATAACCTTTGATGAATGGACCATATTTTATTTTTTACCTGCTTTTAGCTCATGGATGAATGAGCGCTGGGATAGCTTCGTCAGGCATAGTCACCTTCTCAGGGACATTTTTTGCGACTTCAAGTCAATTTTTCATCAACCATAAGAGATATATCACCTCAAAAGAGCCCATTTATTGACAGTTTTTACATTGGAAGACTTACTAGGTGACTTGTAAATGAATGCGGTCATCCTAACAATGCTAACTATGGTTAATCCTACCGGTTAACCTTCCTTTTCATCTATACTGGATAATAAGTGATATGTATTGACTTGGTTTCAAGTGTCAGACTTTATATGCCAATCTAATATGCCAATCTCTTCTTTTGTCTTGCATATTCTGCAGTGGTTTTCGACGACTGCGCTGGAAATGAGGGTGTTGAGTTTGAAGTATCGAACCCTGACTTTCTAATCGACGAGAACCTGAATCTGGTTCCCAGAAGAGACGTGATTGACAGCGGAGATGTCATGTTTGTCCACGGTGTCAACGTTCATGTTGATGACATGGCACAGGTGACCATTATGGGAGCATTTCAAGTGTCAGACTTTATTTCTCCTAAGCTAATATGCCAATCTCTTCTTTTGTCTTGCATATTCTGCAGTGGTTTTCGACGACTGCGCTGGAAATGAGGGTGTTGAGTTTGAAGTATCGAACCCTGACTTTCTAATCGACGAGAACCTGAATCTGGTTCCCAGAAGAGACGTGATTGACAGCGGAGATGTCATGTTTGTCCACGGTGTCAACGTTCATGTTGATGACATGGCACAGGTGACCATTATGGGAGCACCATCCAGATCTCCTCAGACACTCAGGGTAAGCGTTTCTCTGTGAGTTGATTTTGTGTGTTTGTGTGTATGTGTGTGTGTGTGTGTGTGAATTTGTTAAATGGCCTGAAGTCTTCAATCTTGTCATTTTAAATGGTCTTCAATGCTGGAGACATTGTATGTCTGGACACCCATGATTCTGTTCTTTCAGAACTGGACGTATGTGTCAGTTAGTGTGTCTTTACTGCCATAATATTGACAGACTCCAGCTCAGACTAGAAATTACCCATCATGTCCTGTCAAGGTATCGCATATTTCGTTCAGAGGAGACCAGTGGCAGAAATTAACTTTTTTCTTATTAAGGGGGAAAAATTGCCCCCCTGGGTTTTTTTGTATGTTCATAAAGGGCATATTTTTTTTCTAACCACATAAAAACACAGCATGTTGTCTAATTATGTTACATGCTTCAATTGAATCAATTCATTAGAATGAATTGTCAATCTGACCAATTATGGCTATAACTGATGAAATTAAATGAACATTTAACAAGATTTTATAACATGCAAATAAAAAAAATTGCTTGAATTCGAAGAATTTCTTCTTTTGAAGGGTTTTCTTGGTTAATTGTGATTATAATTTAATTTAAATATAGGCTATAGACTACCGTTCAAAATTTGGGGTCAGTCAGATGTTCTTTTTAAGAAATTAATACTTTTATTCAGCAAGGATGCATTAAATTGATCAAAAGCAATATTAAAGACTTTCACATTGTGACAAAAATTTCTTTCAAATAATTGCTCTTTTGAACTTTCCATTCATCTTTCTATTCATCAAGCAATCCTGTATTGAGTATCACTGTTTCCATACAAATATTAAGCAGCACAACCGTTTTCATCTTTGATAAAAATAAGAAATATTTCTTGAGCTAATCTGCATATTAGAATCATTTCTGAAGGATCATGTGACACTGAAGACTGGTGTAATGGCTGATGAAAATTCAGAATTGCATCATAGGAATAAATTATATTTTAAAAGATTAAAATAGAAAAGTTATTTACATTTTTAAAACATTTTCTATTTTTTACTATATTTTTGATCAAATAAATGCAGCTTTGGTGAGCATGAGACTTAAAAAAAAAATCTTCAGGACTATAAGCTTTTGAACATCCCTGAGAGCGGGAAAGAAAGAGATAATTTTTTATTTTATAAATAAAAATAATTCATTCATTCATTCATTTATTCATTCATTCCTGCAAGAACACATGCAGTACAATACACACATGCAGTCTAGAATTTAGGTCATACTGTAGCTGTATTATATTGCATGTAGTGCCATCGTGAATGAAAAGCAACTAGCTCCCACCTCTTTGAGATGATAAACTATGAATTATACTCTCAGATGAGATATATAGCATGAGTGAAGTGATTGCTATGTGAGAGAGCTCGGGGAGAACAGCGGCGTATGAAGAGGCTGAGGCGAGAGCCTGGAAGCAGGGTCATTATGGATCATACATCCTGTAATCACAGTCAGACTAAGCCTTCAAAAATAAAGCTTGCCCCAACCCACTGGTTTGTTCCCGGCAGAAAACCTCGCATCAGCTAGTGAATGCCGAAGGGAAGCGCTTCTTATTGATGCCATATTTGACTTAATGCCCATTTTATTGGATTTTGATTATTGATAAGTGCGAGTGGAAATGGAAAAGGCTTCCGTCTTCCCCAGAGGCTGACGTGATGTAATTCTAGCCGCCATACAAGCACAGCAAGCCTGAAGAAAAGGCCTTATGAGAAAAGTGAGAATTCAGGGTATAATTCAGTGTTTTGCAGAGGATCGATATACGAATTAATTTCATGATTTGTTTTCCTCTCTAGCGTTTCTATCTGTGAATGAGACTGTCTTTCCTTGTGGAACCACCAAGTGGAGTGGGAAAAAATGCAGTGAATTTTTAAGACCTTGACATTTCATACTTTTCAATCTTTTCAAATGTATTCAAAAGAATACATATAGAGGGTTCTTTCTTTCACAGTCCTTTTTCATTTATTCTAAAGAAGAGGATGACCTGGTCACATGGTTACAGGTTGTAAATCTGTCTGGTGTATTGCCTTTGCTTGTTTATTGGCCTTTCTGGTGTTTTTAGCCTTGGCCGGTGGTAGTAATGTAATGTCGTTGTTTCATAGAAAGTGGTTAAGTTGCTTACCCTGCTGAAAAATAAAACATCTGAAACCATTCTTGTCTGGTTTGATCATTTTATAGGCATTTTAGGTACTTATCATCTAGCAGTTCCAATGAAAGTTTGGGGTTACACAGGTCCTTTGGGATGAATCACTACAGGCAGATAATCTGCAATGCAAACCCAGAGGTTTCTGTCTGGCACTCTGACTCCTCTCTCTGTCTGGATAAATGAGAAGTCAGAAAGGAGTAATGATACATCCCAATAGGGCAGTCAGCAGCAGAATGGCAGAATTGACAAGGACACAGTGCCTCTGACAACCCTGAGTCCTAATTATTGATGAGTTTCGATGACTAAGGAAAAGCAAATCGAGGGTTTTGATCACATTTTAGCTTTTTATGCACTGTTATCAAGACTGAAAGTTTTAGGTGCTATAGAACAGTTGTTAACTTTGTAGACTTATAAGACTGAGGGGACCTTGTTACTTCAAAGACAGCAGTGGTTCTTTACTGTGGCTCCAAAGTTATTATTCACATTGGCATTTAGGTGATTGCCTTAAAAAATGTGTGCCCAGAATGGTATGCATCTACATTTTAGGGAACCCACAGCAGTCAAACAAGTGCCTTTGAGATGATTGGGAATGCTAACAGATGTTTTTTTTTTCAGGTAATATAAACCAACTTTTGTCTTGGGAACTCTCACAGCTCATCCATTAAGATTCAAGTGCCCCTTCTTCAACACCACACCATTAGCAGGAGCATTAATGTTACTAAAATAGCCATTATTGCAATGATTTACTTTGAAACTCAAAACAATCAACGCTGTGGTTGAGAAACACTCTCCATGTCACCTCTCTCTTTAATGAGACACCATAGCTTGTTTGTCTTTCACAGGTTTTGACAGTTCTGGGGGCAATCATGGGAACCTTTGAGATGGATTAAAAAAATACTGTTGCAAAAATCTTGCCTGTCTTCTTACGTGCAAATATATTTTACGACAAGTATCACAAGTGTCATTCAAACATATTACCATTATTACATTATTATTTTCAATGTATATTAATTGTATTTATTCTCTCTCTCTTATTGTGTATATTTTATTGTATATTGTAAACCTTTAATTAGTAATTTTTATTTTATAGCTTTAGCAATGTAAGTCTAGTACATTTTATTTTAATTATTTTTTTATTTTATTTTATTTTATTTTTGACAGTCAAGTGTAGACAGGGAAGTACGAGTGAGAGAGGGGAAATTAAATTAGGACACGACCCAGGTCAGACTTGAACTTTGGTTCCCATAAGCCAGCAGCTCATTTTGTGATGTTAAAGTTGCTTGAATTGCAGTTTTGACCATAATTTTCAAAAGGCAGGTGGGGTGGCGTAATGTTTGAGGCTCAGAGCTGTTAACCGAAAATTTGCTGGTTCAGTTCCATGCAAGGAGTTAACCATGAGTCGTCAGATGATTGCAGGGATTGAAAATAAGCTAAAACATATTAAAACTGCTTAACGCACATAATTTATTTGCTAAATGGTGGGAAGAATTTCAAAAATCGTAATCCTCAATGCAGCTCACCGGTGCAATGTACTCTACGGCTGGGATTCGTATGCCACTAATCTTTAAGCTGCCCTGTTTCAGTTATTAATGAGAGCTCAAACTAGCTCACAGAGCGGAGAAAGCCGAAGCAGGGATGATTGTACCTCTGTAATTTATGAACAGGAAACATTAAAGATTCATGACTATCTTCTTTTCAGCATGTCAGCACACTCTAGCCAACAGTGTTCATCACTGGCAGAGGGAAGGCGTAGCGAACGCATACAACAGACCTTGCGCTCTGTTCTCAGAGCGGTGCGGTGCGTTTTTCTGTCCTTGAGAATGCAGCGGGGAAGAGTGGCAAAGGAGTTCATCAATAACCTCAACGCAGACCTTCATTTTTCCAACAGAGAATGTTCTTAAAGTTCCATCAGTCTCTCTCGTTCTCTCCATCGCTCACTGCGGCGAGTTGATGAGTTGAGGGAGATGTTTCATCTTCACCGTAATACCCGTCACTCTGTCACTTATGCCCCTTATGTAGCGGATGAGAATAACATAAACTCCCCTTATGATGGGAGGACATATTGGTTACTTTCTCATGGAAATGTGCTCTCAGCCAAGGTGAAGGGACTGATATGATGCTGTTCTGACATAAGTTTCAATACAACGGCTGAAGGACACATCAACTTTAAAGCAATCTCTGAAAGATGATTCAGGTATGATTATGAGTTTGAATCATTACACCAATGATAATGTTGCATTTCCATAGAAGTGTAGTTTTAATAAGCACCCTTTAAAAGAGACCCCAAAATGAAATCCTCATGTCATTCCAAAACTGTACGACTTAATGATCTTCTTCAGAACATATAAGATATTTTGAAGAATGGCGGGGTCCAAATCTTCTTTTATTTTCAAAAAGAAAACCATGCAGGTTTGGGACAACATGAGAGACTTGACAGATTGACAGATTTCCCATTTTTGGGTGAACTCTCGCTTTATGACCATGATATTTTAAATATTAAAACTGAATGAATAATTTAAGTGAATGATTCAATGACTTGCTTGTTTCATTTCTGAGTGAATCAATATTTCTGAATGAATCGAGTGAAATATTTAGTGACTCACTAATAGACAGTGATTTGCAGACTTTTTAATAATGCAGTAAGATACTTCACAAATAGAAGGTAATTCTATTCATGCGATTATTATTTTAATTGATAAACTAACAGATGTAAACCAAAAGACAAGTTTATTTTAAAAAGTACACTCTAAAAAATGCTGGGTTAAATACAACCCAGTGCTGTGCATCGATAACTAATAATATGAAACAAATTGCTCTGATTCTGAAATACTGAACCACCTTTAAAGGTGTGCGATATATGTGTGCATAGATTAGTTTGCACCATCTTTGAGTGTGAGTATCAAATGCAGCCAGGTTATGATGATGTGTCGCATTATGTGGCCATGAATGATGTCAGAGCGATTCAGACAAATTACTTTATTCCGTCCGTTCTATTCCACCTTTGTACACTCTGTCATCCTGACAGCCTTTGGGCTCCAGCAGCTCTGAATCCAGCCTCTCACATTCCCCCATCACTCCACCGCAGCTACGCCTGACCAAAGACATGCAGCAAGGACAGAACACACTGTGCTTCCAATGCAAATGGAAAGTTTGTGACCGCACCCCAACGGTTTCCCGCCCAACAAACAATGACATACGAGTAAGACACAATAAATAGCTTTTTCAAGGGTATCTCTTTGTCTGTGGAGTGCATGCTTAGCGGGTTGGAATTTGGAGAACAGGAGCAAAAGAGATAGTAATAGATGGAAATAGAAGCATAAAAAACGACTGGATTGACAAAAAGAGCCTTCTTAGTGGTGCTTTTCCAACCTTGACAAACTATGTAGTCACTGTAGCTGCTGTTTTCCAGTTGGTACGTGGTGACATTCTTTTTTGCCCTTCCTCTTTCTCCCTCCTTCTCCTCGTTCTGCCTTGTAATGCAGCTCAGATAGGTTCACTGTTGTAATGAGTTCAGATGCATGCTGGGATCTGTGTGGCTGCATGCTGTTGCCGTGTCGTCAGCTGAAAGGCTGCTTATGTGAAGCATAAAAAACGGTATCTAAAACCTTTCTGAACAAACAGAGATATCAGAATCTTTTTCCCCTCTGTTTACTATAAAGCATTGTAAGGCTATTAGTACCGCAGTTGCTCTGATAATAAAATTCATCTCTGTGTTTGATGGCGTTCTTTTGCTCATGACAGCAGGACGGTGAAAGTAATTCCCTCAATAAAGGGAGATTTTGGAGAGAAACAGTGGTGTGTATCTGCTAATGACATCAAAACAACAGGAGCCTATAATAATTAATTTCAAGAACAGATTTTTTGAAGTATGAAATACTATTAAGACTGATCCGTGGGGATTTATGAAAATGTTTCAGTTTTGCAGGGAAATATCCTGAAAACGTCACCCATCAATCTTGATATCAGGCTGAAAAGTACTCGAGACACTCTTCCTCACATTAATAGCTTGGGCTGTCCCCAGAGATGGTGGTGTGATGTATCCATTTCACAAATGGAATCTTCTGTCCGGGCAGATCAAGATGGGCCATTTAGGTTATAATGTGATTTGCTAATGTACTTTAATTTTTCTCTGCATTTGACCATTTATATTTCACTACTGTACTACAATCAGCTCAAATTGCATTTTATATTTGCGATACCAAAACTTTGTTGAGAACAAGGTGGTCTGTAATGGTTTGGGAAATATATCCGTTAGCATTCACATTCGTCTCAATGGCAGTTGCTTGACCAGCACACAACTTCCTGGAACTTGTTCAGCTACACTGCGAAAAAGTTAAATGTCTGAAGGTTCTTCAAATAAGATACATTTACTTAAGAAGCAGCATTGCATAAAATATTAAAACTATTTTCAGAAAAGGTATCTTAATACTAATATATTTTCCCCATTTGTTATAAACAAGTTAACATTTAAATTGATTGACTTAGCAGACAAAATACACAATTTAAAAGACAAAATGCATTTATATTCAAGATACAACCAATGAAAACAATTATTTTCTAGACTTATAGAAAATATTGTGTTGCTTCTCAAGTACATTTATCTTGTTTTGATTTTTAGATAATTTTTCTGAAAAGCAAATCATTTCATTGTAACATCTTAAGAAGTTTCTCTCTCTCTCTCTCTCTCTCTCTCTCTCTCTCTCTCTCTCTCTCTCGCTCTGTGATGTCAAAAGTATCAAAATAATACAAAGTCTTATGTTTTTTTTAATGTATAAGATGCTATACTATTCAAAAAGTTGGGCTCAGTATATATTTTTTCTTTTCTCCCCCTTAGTGTTACAAAGGTTTTCTGTTTTAAACAAATACTCTTGAACCTTCCTGAAAATCCTGAAAAAAAAAAAAATTATCAGAGGATTGTGTTCCAGATGATGCCGTTTCAGGATACACCAGAAGGACCTAACTTGAGCATGCTAATTAGCTAAGCCTTGACCTGTTGGTTTGCGGAAAGCATTTTGAGCCAGGTCATCAAAAGACATTATAGGGCCATTTACTCGTGCCACATGGCCGTCTAGGGCCAGTGGGATCTTGCACGGGTCGTTGCCACCGTGCTAATATATTCCGTTTCACCCTGCTGCCAATGCTGAGTGACAAATATAATTTGTGCTGCCATCTAATTGCCCTTAGGGGCTCTAACTGCAACAGTGTTGACAAAGAAAAGAGAATAGAACAAAATGGCGAGGAAGAAAGAACAGATCAGAGAGGGTAACATGAGAGACGCTGATTAGCTTGGTTATTGAATTGAGATGCTAATAAACTTCAGTAGTCGCATGGAAGCCTGAAACCCACGGAAAAACACATTTGCTGCATTTATACACCTTAGATGGGATGAGATCTGAAGGCTCGGATTGCATGTTCTGCATTTTTATATCCATTTTATCTGGAATACTTTTATTCTGATTGGTCAGTTGTGACATTCTGTGGTCAAATATTTTCCATAATGACTACTTAACTATATAATTGACCATTACCCATCGCAACCGATGTAGGAGACAGTATTAATGTCTCTCTGTGCTCGTTTTTTCTTTGTTTGATAAAATTATTTTAACTAAAATCAATATTTAATTTCTATGTATTCACTTATTTGGTGTGTGGCAGCATAATAAGCCAGATAATGTACAGTCAGGCGGTCATTATCGCAAAATAAACCCCATCAGCATGACATAAAAGTGATATTTTGCAATAATGACTGGCTGACTGTACACTATCCCATATACGGTATAATGTCTCTTTTTTAATGTCACTTTTTTCTCTTTAAGGCTCAGTCTCCATTTTAAGAGCCGCAGAAGGAAAGCTTGCGACAATATTTGCTTAGTTTAAGTTTCTGAAATAGGACATGGCTTTAAATTAAGCTTCTATCTAAATAAGGGAAGCAATGGCAAACCACAGAACTGCTGTAATGACCACTTTTAATGACTTTGGTAAGAGCACAACGTGGCTTGTTTGTATCGATGTGCTTGCCAGAGTTATATATTAGCGCTATCAGGTGTCTGCATAGTTCAGTAACCCTCATGTATCTAATAGGATGTATTGTGGCTGTTTTTCTATCCATTCATATAACAGTATATGGATGTGTGCGGTGTAAGAGTTGGTAGTATCCTTCATGAAGGGATTTACATTGATTTTATGAAGTATTCATAACATTATGGGACTAATGTGGTGTATAATAGCATAGTGGTTAAATAACTAGAATGGCAACTGAAAAGTTGTAGGTTAAAACCCTCCTAGGGGTGATTGATGATCCATCACCATTGTCCCCTCAAGCAAAACACTTAGCCCAGTGGATGTTTCTGTAATAAGTATACCGGAAGTCCCTTTGGATAAAATGGTCAGTTAAATGTCAAATTACCTCTGAATATGTTATATTTGGTGTTAAAGTAGAGTGGCACATACCTCAACACTTGTATTTCTTACACTTGAACTATTTTCACATTTTTGTCCTGGTTTAGGAGATCCTGGGTCTATCAGACATGATGCCATACCGATCCAAAAGATCCCTGCTGGTGCCCCCCATGTTTGTCCCAGAGAACCAGAGAGCCCCCTTCCCCAGGTTAATTGGAAAGGTAAGACCTTCCATTTGTAATGCTCTTTGACATTAACTTAGTCCTACTAATGTGCATTGCCACCATGGTCTTGGTCAACCATATTTTGTGTGTGGACATAAGTGTGACAGTGCTACCTGATGGTTTAAATAAGTTAAATAAGTTATTTGGTTTTCAAGCTTACTTAGCTCTGGTTCCAAAAAGTCAGATGAATTAGCCGAAAAATTATGCATGGAATGACACATTTTCATAGGCCAACCCTGAAGTTAGCATCACCTTGGTCCCTCGGGGAAAAAATCCAAAAGGATTTTTCCATTAGCTTTTGGATCATTGCAGAACATAAGCTCTGTGACAAACAAAAGTTTATGATTCTTATACATTTTATTCATCAAGGTGATATTCACAAATGATCATCGCTTTTATGAATGAAAAAATGAAGTAAAAAGCAAAAGTTGTCAGTGCTGATCCTTGTGGGCAGCTCGCCGACATATAGCAGCATTGCGCTACAGGCGTCTCGAGTTCCAGCTCCAATTCCAGCTTGTGGACTTTCCTGATCCCACCCCCCTCTCTCCCACTTCTCTTCCTGTCATTAGACTGTCCTATATAAATAAAGGCCTAAACGCCAAAAATCTAGTTTTTTTAAAGCAAAAGTTTGGCAATAAATGAACTACACAAAGGTCAAATGACTTCAACTTCAGCATTAAGCTTCTGAAAAGTCTTTCTTGATTTATAATCAACAAGCTGGAAAGTTTGAGTTAGAATAGTTTGTAAGAGTGCAAGTGTAAATACAATGAGGATATAAAAGCGGACTAGTGAGTAGATGAGTTTACCTGTTCGGTGTGATGATGTTTAGTGTCCTGACAACCTCTGTAATTCCATTTAGCCATTTGCTACCAAGCAAACCACCTTTTTGAGACGCATAACCCTAGTGAAAAAAAAGTATACCAAGTATACTTGCAGCCAGACTAATTGTCAGTATACTTCAAGTGTGTTAATGATTAGTTAACTTGAAGTGTGCTATTTTGGAACAACTATTTTTGTACTAAGTGTATTTTAGTTGTAATTAAATTATACTAAACTACATTACATCAAACATCACTGATTCTTGGATATCATGATGTAATTCATGTGGTGTGAAACAGGGCCGGAGTGGGAGTCATTTTCAGCCCTGGAGTTTCATGCCCTAGAGCGGCCCACTTTAGTTCACGACTGAATATAGCTATTACAATAATGTAATTAAAACTTCAGTATATAAGTCTGCAATAGCGCACTGTTCTCTACAGACTTGTAATTCATTATATTTTTCTACAGCTTTGTTTTTTTTTTTTTTTTTTTTTTACTCGCCTTTTTTCCGCACAAAATATTTGTAGGCCTACTGTACCATAATGTCTGCCTGCAGTTAAAATGTTCTCAGAAATAATCACATTTGTTTTACTTAACCTATATTCTAAAAATAATTTTAATGTCATACAAAAAAAAAGAAAAAAAGTCATCGGGTCATCGGAGTAAATTGTACCATTATAAAATCGTGACTGCACAAGTAGTGTAGCAATTTAGGAAGTGAAAATACTGTGAAATTACATGCATACAAATGGCAATAAATTTGAAAGCATAACAACTGAACGTCTATGAAGCGTCTATGCACTTACATTTTTTGAACTAAAATAGCTATTATTGAAACCATATAGCCTATGAATGAATGAAAATGCATATTTTTCAATTAAAGAAAATTTGTGGGCTGAGTGTGGGCTGCTTCTGGTGCTTGGATTTCTACTTCAATAAAATGAGGTCCTAGAAGTTAATTTTTTTTAAATTTCCCCCTCTATTTAACAGCCTTAACTTACAATAGTGAAAGACGTCTCCCCTCGAGTAGATTAGACTTGGTCTTAAAGCCTTCAGCAAACGGCTACGTTCACAAATAAAACAATATGTTGCGCAAAAATAATGATTAATTATCAATTGAGAATTTGTTATTCATATGGTCTGGTGGTCATATGGCATATGCCTGCGAATACGGGTCAAATTGTGTTATAGTTTTCATACGGGACGCTTCTTTGATGCCTTGAATATGGGCATCCATATTTCAACCCCATAGCAGTAGCATGACAATACCGGCCCTCGCGGCCAAAAAAAAGACCGGCCCACCGGGAATTTTCCCGGTGCTCCCGATTAGCCAATCCGGGCCTGCTTTGGCCTATAGACCCTTTTTACATGGCCAGATTTGGATCAGGGGAGTAAACTATAGCAGGGTGAATTTCTATAGGAGAACGTGGGAGACCATAGCAAATATAAATCTATAAATATAAAAATATAATAAAAAAAATTAATTTAGCAAAGATATATTTATATTTATACCCTGTAGCCCAAGACTGGTTGCCCACTGAAGCTAAGCAGGGTTGAGCCTGGTCAGTAGTGCTTGGATTTCTACTTCAATAAAATGAGGTCCTAGAAGTTAATTTTTTTTAAATTTCCCCCTCTATTTAACAGCCTTAACTTACAATAGTGAAAGACGTCTCCCCTCGAGTAGATTAGACTTGGTCTTAAAGCCTTCAGCAAACGGCTACGTTCACAAATAAAACAATATGTTGCGCAAAAATAATGATTAATTATCAATTGAGAATTTGTTATTCATATGGTCTGGTGGTCATATGGCATATGCCTGCGAATACGGGTCAAATTGTGTTATAGTTTTCATACGGGACGCTTCTTTGATGCCTTGAATATGGGCATCCATATTTCAACCCCATAGCAGTAGCATGACAATACCGGCCCTCGCGGCCAAAAAAAAGACCGGCCCACCGGGAATTTTCCCGGTGCTCCCGATTAGCCAATCCGAGCCTGGTGTGAAAGAACCAGTATTTGTCTGGGCTGTGTATGCATGAGTTGATCAATGTTCAGATTTAAATTTCATTCCAAAATATTGTACTGCTTCAGAAGACACATTTGTGCTGCTACATTTGCAAAAATAGCAATTAATCCAAAAATGAAAAAATATACTTAAAAAACCTTTCAGAAAGTGATGGTTTACATCTCGCATAAAACCCATCAATTAAATCAATGTGAATTCTAAGTTACTTACTTCACTTTAGGCTCGTAGTATTGCAGCCATCTTGTTGCCTTTGACATCACTCCACGCTGTCTTTGCTCTGAAAACATTGATTTAAAAAACATATGCAAGTATGAGTTTCAAATTAAAAAACGCGAGGCGCAAATATCAGTCTGAAAAGGTAAATAACGTTAGCAAAACAGCCATCATAAATGCTCCTTGAGCCGCTTTGTTTACCGGGGCTTCGGCTGCATTGGTAAACTTAATTAGCATCACATGGATATGCTAGATGAAACTGAAGAAGCGGATCATAAATAACGATTAAGAAAAAGTTCAAAGATATTATAATATAGTGAATGGGCGGGTTTGTCTAACGTTACCTGTTAAATTAGTTTCTGTGGCGCGTGTGTCGGTTAGATCTGTCAGTCGTCTTTCTGGTTTAAAAGACAAAAATCACCGGACTTGTTTGTCTGTCTCCGACTGAGAAAAGCACACAAAAAAATTATATATATATATACATGTGTGTGTGTGTTTTTCTTTTTCCCACTGACAAACTGTGGTGTAAAACACTGTATATTTAACACTTGCCGTTGATAACTTTGATGTAATGTCGTGTTAATTCCTCTTTGCTAGCTAATACATTAGCGTTGCCGAGCTGGTTAATCTTCAAATAATAAGATACGACAATAAATCATAAACGTTCAAAAGTTTTTTTAAGGAATAAAGAAGCTTGAAATGCTTGTTTAAAAGGCAAAAATCACCAGACTTGTTTGTCTGTCTCCGACTGAGAAAAGCACAAAAAAAAAAAAATATTATATATATATATATGTTTTTTCATTTTCCCACTAACAAATTGTGGTGTAAAACACTGTATATTTAACACTTGCCGTTGATAACTTTGATGTAATGTCGCTAGAAAAATATATTTTGCCACGAGTAAAAGTTATTACATAAAAAAGCTTAATGTAGGCTTTATATGAAAGACGTATGTACACTGAAAAAAATGATTAAAAAAAATGTTTTAAGCTATGTTGCAAACAATTTATTTTGAGCTACATTTAAATAAAAAATGTTGAAATTAGTCAACTAAATTTGTTTATTTAAATGTAGCTAAAATAAATTGATTGTTTAGATGTTCAGCTAAATATATCCTCAACATTTATAGTGTCTCATTATGTATTTGTTGTCCATCCTCAATCACTCAAATGTAAATGTATAATTATTAGGTCTAAAGACAAACTGTATGTCATTCCACTTCCAAACAATATTGAAAGAGACTAAAAACTGATTCCTGGGGAACTACTTCTGCAGCTTTATACAGATATCAATGCCAATTGTTGTTTTTCAGCTTTATTTCTCCATACAATTTATAATGATATGTTATAATAATGCAATGATATAATATTAATGCAGAGTGAGTGAACTTCAGTTTTTTATAGCCCTATACTCTATACAAACATACTTAAAATATTCAGGTTATTTAATAATGTACTTTGAAAGTATAATTTCAATGCATTGTAACAATGATCATAATGATCATTT